AACTCAATGAGTTAAACATAGAGAAAAAGAAGAAAGAAGAACAACTGAAAGAACTAAGTACAGAGGAATATGCGAAAAAAGTGTCAGAAAAAGCAGCAAGTAGCAAAAATGGAACAAGATGTTATAAATTTGAAAAACCATACTACTCAATATAAAGTACTGAAAGATGAAGAAATAAAACAAAAAGCCCTGAAGACATATATGGATAGCGATGAGTATAAAAGAAGTTGAAGCAAATGTAAAGGCAGAAAAACTTTTACAGTTGCAAAACCAAACCGTACAGTATGAAAACTTAGCACAAGAAAGTAAAAATAACGACGCAGCCATGCAAAAGGCAATGAAAAGCGCAGAATATATAAAAGCTAATAATGACTGGTTAGATGCCCAAGCCAACGCTAAGCAGCCCAACTTATAGGGTCAATAAGGACAAAAATACAAGCGGATGAAGACAGTTCAAATGAAGCTTTAATGAATGCTGACTTTAAGAACGCCTTCGAAGCTCTTCATAGTAAGGTGAAACTAGTGAACGACTTCTCATCTGGAAAGAAACTGAAGTCTGAAGGTTTCGACAAAGAGTTAAGAGAAGTAGCACAAAATATGACGAAAATAACAGATGCAGCAACGAGACAGGCAGTTCAAAGTGCCTATGACGCCGTTAGAGCAACTGTTGTGGAAAGTCAAGAAAAAGAGTTACAACAGACCAAAACAGACCTAGTAAATGCTTTCTTAAAAACGAAAAGTCAGGTAGGACATTATGCTGCAGATGGAACATATGTGCCAGCTGGTGGAACTTATATACCAGCTGGTGGAACTTATATACTAGCTAGTGGAACTTATATACACCAAACCCTCCAAGAGAAGCACCTGCACCAGGACTACCTAAAACATTTACATCGTCACATGGACACAGACACAGGCATGCACCAAAACCAACACAACAACCAACACAACAACCAACAGTTCAAAACACTGCACCACAACCAACAGTTCAAAACACTGCACAGCAACCAACAGTTCAAAACACTGCACAACAACCAACAGTTCAAAACCCTGCACAACAACAACCACAAACAGAGCAAGGACATAAAAGAAGTAGAGAACAAGGAAACCAAGAATTCTTAAAAATGCTTAAAGAAGAGTGTGGTTTCCCAGATAGTATTGACTTTAGTGACAGATATAAAGAAGCTATTAGAAAGTTCAAGGAAGGAAATACTGACCCGAACCTATTTAGCTTTATGGCTCAGCACCAAATGGGATATAATTTCAAACCTGGAAAATACAAGCTCGCTAAGGGATATGATTTAATAGCATATCATCCAAATGACATGACTGATTTACTCCGAGATATTGGTGTCAGAGATAAATGATAATTCAACTCTCTTCATGAAACGCGTAAAAAATAGAGACGGAACGAAAGAAGAAAGGCTTATGAATGCGGATGACTTAAATAGGGAACTTGTTGAAAACGGTCTCGGAATATATGAAATGCCAGCAGATGAGGTACAAGAAACTCCACAGGAAGAAGTTCAGATACAACCAGACATGGAAGAAATAGTTCAGCAACAACAGCTAGAAGAGCCTGAAGGAAACAAACAAGTCCCTCCTTTGGAAACTAATTCACAGAACTAGATGAAGATTTGGAACAGCCGAAAAATCTTGACCCTCAACAAGAGTATGCGGAGAATATGGAATCTTTCCAAGAGTCTAAGAAAAATTCGGCTGACATAGTAGAAGAATATCGAAAAATGTTCGCCGACATACAAAAGACTCCAACATCAGATGAAATATTCAGCATAGAATGGAAGAACTGAAAGAAAGTGTACGCAAATACAACAATCCTTTTTACTTACGACCATATAACGTTCAATCTTTGGCTGAACTCGGTGAAAATAAAAGGTTAAATTTCACCAAAACATATAAGAAATGAAACATTGTTTAAAGTTCATTCAGAACCTAACCAATATGGAAACAAACCTACTTTTGTTTCTGCAGACTATGGAACTACAATGAGATGGGGTCATAAAGCTAATCGGATAGGTGGTTCATAAACTTACAACCACAATTCCAAGAAGTTGTAGACGCAATGGAAGTGAATGGTGAACCAGATATAGCTGGTATTTTCAGCGCGGGCTTTAATGCCATTGAAAGATATGAAAGATGCAGATATTTGGACCAGTATGAAATGAACATGGCTGATGGAAATATAACACCTGACGTTCTAGAACATTATCTCAAAGAACTACACAGAACCATAGAGATGGTATATTTGGTGAAGAGTTTAGAAAGAAAGTTAGGGAGAGAGAAGGAAGAGAACCTATTGTACATGACCTTGCAAACGAAAGTTTGCAAAATGTCATAAAAACTTACTTTGCAGACAATGAACTGAGAAGGATGAATATTTAAGAAAACTCAAATGGACAGTACCAAATGAAATGTTAGTATTGAAAAACATGTTCCTTGACAAAATAAAACCAACTACAGAAATAAATGACGCAAGACTGAAACATTGGGTAAAAGCTTTCCCATTCACAAAAGATATTATTGGTAACATGGAAAGAAAACCAGAATGGCTACAAAAACATATATTTGGAAACGAGCTTATTCCATATGGACAAGCTCTGTTTGAAGAGCTTGAACCGGAAACTCAGGAAAGAGTCATGCAAACAATAAGCGAAGACTCAAATACAAACTATGACAAAATCTTTCTAGGATATAGGTTACCTGAGATGGGCGACCAGAGCCCAAAGGCAAAAAGGACACGTGAAATTTACAACATACTAGGTGAACATGAGGCAAAGATGCAAACAACTTGAAGCAGAGGGCAAGTTACCAAAAGCGACACCAAAGAAGAAGAGTAGAACAAAAGTGAAAATAGTGAAGAAGTAACTTCATCTAGTGAAAGTAGTGGCAATGAAGGAAAAAGAAGAGTTAAAAACTCAGTCAGGAAGAAAGTAAAGCTTGGTACGAGTGGGTTCTATTATGATATATAAATCCAACTATTCTATATTTTTACCCATATGAAATGTACGCCGCTCAGAATATAACGCCAACAGTTTTGGATGCCATGAACGGAAATGTTTCCGAATGGTATAACGAATGCGACAATGCCATTAGAAGGTCAGAAATAGTTCCTGGAACTTACGAATATACAACTGCTGTTTCTTACGGAAACGTAGGTGAGTTTGGAGAAGGTTCTTCAACAACAGTAGATATTGCTTGCGACAGGTTTCATATTATTTCTATTGACAAACTCATTCTTATACGTGGAACAAGACATTGAAATAAAACCTTCTGCCAAGTTGTCTGACAAGAAAGGTTGCAATGGAATTTTCTATGTCGGATACCAATATGCTCCAGAAGTTTTCATGGGATATAAGATATATTCTAACTCTGACTTAGTTCAAACAGTAACATGGGCAAACTATGAATGGTTCGCTTTGAGAAACTCAGTACAACCACAAGCTAGAGAACAAACAGACCAGTATGCAAATATTGAGAAAATAAGAAGACTTGACCCTAACGTTCCAGGAGTTTATGTTAACCTTTCTGGTTCAGATGGAACTGCTGCCACTAAAGTAAAACTGAAACTTAGAGTTCCTTTGTCATCTTTCCTCATCTTCAGGTTTTTAAGATACTTGCCAAACTGGCAGGAAAAATTTCTATTGAACTTACTCCAAGCAAAAAATAACTTAGTCATTGCACCAACACAAGACCCATTCACTATTACTGTAGCTGGAACTGGTGGAGCCAAGTTCTGTGACTTTTGCAAAGACAAAGTTGACTTAGACTTTGGTTTCTCAAACTTCAACAATGAAGTAAACTATTATTTCAATGCTGCTGGAACTGCTTGGGACCCAGTTAAGTTCACATGCGAAAAATTTGAATGCAAGAGAATAGAAAGCAGACTTGCAGTCTATATGTTGGACCAGATATTTCAAATGCTTTAGCTGCCAAATATATTGCAGTTCCACTTATGTTCCCTATACACCAAATATCTGTCAAAGACTTTGCAGGTGAAGTTGGAAACCAAAGTGCTGACCCAGGTGCAAGAACAGATATTGCTTTAACAACTGCAATGAAACATGCAGATACTATGTTTGTACTGTTCAGACGAACTATAAATGACTATTCTTGTTTCTACAACCCCGGTATTAATATCATATAAACATAGATGGCAATATTATCCAAGAGAAGAATATTCTACAGTTGAGGATATGAGGTCATACAACTTGACATTAGATGCTATGAACTTTAACAACAATTTCACAACAACCATTAACCCTGAAATGCAAAGTTCTATTATGCCATATGTGAAAGTATGGACTCATACAGGAGGTCAAAAACTCAATATACAAATGGAGACCGTTTCAAACTTTTGGCTTGGCATTCCATTTGCTGACTCAGAAGACTTTATGGGTGGTATTTCAACTGTTGGTACTGTACAAATACAATATACTGGTGACAGAGACGGTCCAGATGAACTGAGAGCAAAGAAGTTTACAAAACCAATAGCACTTTTCACGGAAGATGCTCTTTTGAAGATTCGTTCGATGAAACCTGCTGGGGCTCCTCAGATTGGCATAACGACAGCTTCCATCGAGCAGATTTTGGCAGCAGGTCAGTAAGTTGTTCTTGAACTGACTTCTCTCCGTCAAATATTGACAGTACGCCAGTTTTGACATAATTGTAAGATAAACTTACCTTTAGAAATATCTGTAAGTTTTGAAGTTATATTTTTTGTCTGCTTCAAGAACTTTCACCATTTCAGTTATACCAACTTTCTTTGCTTTATGGAAATATTTTGGTTCAGCAAATATTGCTATTCTATAACATTTACCATTGTTTGTATAAAGAACTATTCTGTCAATGTATTTGTATTGTTTGTGTGTGTAAACTTTGTTCTGCTTCAATTCGAAGAGATACTCGAATACGTCCATCTTTTTATTCTAAGTAAAATGTCATTTCCGAAAAATAGAAGCGTGAGTGTTTCAAAAGGTTTAATGGCGGTGGCAGATGTGAAGTTAAATTCACCAACTCAAACAAACAGTCAAAGTGTTATTGTCAATGTCAAAGACAGAGATGTTGAAGTGGGGAAACCATACGAAGACGAAGATGGTATAACAATTGTTCCTGTAAAAGAACAACCAACATATCCTGAAGTTAGCAGAGACTTAAGTTCTGTTGCAGATATTCGAAATGACTACCAACAACTTAAAGACAAACTTCAAACTCAGGAGAAGATTTGTCAAGCTTTAAGTATAATGTTAAACTTGGTCGAACACAACCCTGTAAAAGTGAACTCATATGTCATTGCACCTCATGAAGTTTTGAAAGAACTATTGAAACTTTTGACAGAGGCAGACGATATAAACATCAAAGAAATAGAACCCGACATTAGTTGCTGTGGTGTTTCATATAATGTCATTGACAAGATATACGTTATGAAAGGAGGTGAAACGTTGAACTTAAAGTATAGTTTCCCAGACGTTATAAAAATATTTGACGACCACAACATTTCATTAAAATTTATTTGCTAAGTAAAAATGTCAAAACTTCTTGAAAGATGTTTGAAGAAAAATAATATAGACTTTATTTCATGTAAAGGACTTTACACACTTTTGAACGATATGAAAGACCCTGTTTTGTTTGTTCGTGTAGACAAAGGAAAGTTCTATGTCTTTACAAAATATTTGAACTTCTTAGACAGAGAACTTCAAGAAACGCCATGTGAAAGTTTAGATGAAGTTCTTCTCCACTTTCAGAAAAACTTTTAAATATATATAAATGGCAGAAGATATAATGGTTTATACTATTACGACTAAAAACCCTGAGTCATATAATTCTATAACAACAAACTTACAAAGTCCTCAAGGACGATATTGTAAACTAACCTTAAACACAATGACGACTAAAGCCTGTTTTGCTCTTTTGACACCAGAAGACTTTATTGTTGTGAATGGTAAAAAATACTCCTTTGAAGATACTTACTCAGATATACCACCAACAGGTTTTGTTGACTTATTTAATACTTTAAGTACGGGTGTAACATGTGCTGCAACTAGAGCAGGTTTCATTATGTTTGGATGTCCGACTGAGTTTACTATAAACGATATGAGCTATAATACAAAACTTATTTCTGGTTTTTACTACCAACAGTTTCCTATAACAGGAAAAGGTGTCATACAAGGAATGTCTATTCCATTGACATTAAGCACACCAATCTTATATATTGTTTCAAACTTAGGTTCAAAGTTATTCGAATGTCGACAGAAACTATTATGACCAAAAGATACTTATGCGTATAAACAATACTTTCTCTGCTGGTTTGCCTATTGTTCATTCGAATGCAGAATTTTCAACCTTAGTGAACTCAAACACTTTGGCAAGTATAACGTTGACATTAGTTGACGCAAACTTTGTTCTGTAAAACTTTTATGTCCTATGTATTTGTCAATGACGGCAGAAAGTTTCGAATTGGAAGATGCAACTGGTGAAAGTATTGTATTACAAGAACAACTTCAACAACAAATAGCTCAAGAACAACAAATGCAACAAATGCAACAAATGCAACAACAAAGTCAAGAATAAAAAAAAATATTTTTTATTTTTATAAAAATGTACAGAATAGATGTTTCAGATTTTTATGACTTCCAAGCATTCAGAAATATGTGTCCATTTCGAGACTATAACAAAGCAGTCGAGAATTTGAAACGTTTAGTCATTTATGTCGACTCTGCCCAGAATGTTATGTCATGAAAGAATGGGATGTAGTCTTTAACAAACCTAAAGCGACAATAGTTTCAGAACAAGAATGTAGACAGAAACTTAAGAAAATAAAAGTCGTACAAGTTGGCATGAAGATGTTAGATGCTTGGGATATCTTATTGTCAAAGTTAGAAGATTTTTCAGTTCGAGGTATAAAGTTCTATACACCTTCTCCAAACTTCTATTCTATCTTCACTGGATATAAATATGAACAAGTAGAATGGAAAGAAAATGTTATAGAAGCTTGGTTAGACCATGTCAAAGAAATTATATGCAATGGAAACGAAAGAGTCTATGAGTATATCTTATGTTGGTTTGCAAACATCTTACAACATCCAAGTGCTAAAAATGAAACTGCTCTCATTATAATTGGAAACAAGGAACTGGTAAGAACACATTCTTTACAGATATTTTGTGCAAACTGTTAGAGGGCTATTCGAACCCGAATATGACAAACTTAGAAAACATCTGCGGTAAATTTAACTCCTCAATAGAGAATATGAAACTTATAGTTTGCAAAGAACTTCAAAGTATAGATACAACAAAAGTTTTGAACTCAGATGCTTTGAAGAGTCTTATAACAGACAAAGTTGGAGTTGTTGAAAGAAAATATAAAGACCAAAGAGTTTGTGAAAATGTTGCAAACTTCATTATGGTTTCAAACAATGCTGTTCCGATGAAGTTAGAAAGTTCTGACAGAAGATATGTAGTTGTCAGAACGTCAGATTCTCATATGCAAGATACAGAATATTTTGACGACTTAGCAGAAACTTTGACATCTGACTTTTACAACCACTTGTTCTCATATTTTATGACATTAGATATTTCTAAGTTCAATCCAAGACAAATTCCACATACCGAAGAGAGACAAACATTGTTAGAAGCAAACAAGAGTGTATATGAACTGTTCATAGATGAAACTGACTTTGAGTGTTTAGATGAAAGGTCATTGTACGATTCGTATAAACAATATTGTCAAGAATATGGTTATATGACAGCGTCTAAACGAACATTCTTGGCAAATGTCAAAAGTCTTTTAGACGTACAGAATGGTGTATATACAAAGAAAAATTTTTCTGAGTAAATTTTAAAAAAAATATTTTTTTTATCCGATAGAAAAGATGGCAAAATATATTTCAGTAAACAAGTACATGTCAGGACTTAAAGAAGAACTAGACCCATTCACATATTTGAATGTTTACTTCTACCATTTTGAAAAGTCTTCATTCAGCAAAGTTTGGAACATCGAACCAGTTAAGTTTGCTATTGTGACTAAAAATGGTGCGAAATTTGAAGACTTAGACATAGAAGGTTTGTTAGCAGTCAAAGAAAGTTTTGACAGAAGGTTTTCAAACCTTAAAGAAGGCAAAGCATACAAACTTGTTATACCTTATGAACCAAAGAAAGCAGACGACTATGAATATTATGAGTCTAAGATAGTTGAAGTTCAAGGTAAATTGGGTAAAAAGATTTTAGAGTCTAAGCCAGTGTTTACTCCTAAAGAGGAAGAGAACATTGACATTGACCCAGAAATGTTCTAAAAATAAAATTTTATTTTTACATGTCAAATTTCTTTTTCTCTGGAACTGGTTCAGGTTCTTTCTTCTCTTCTTCTACTTTCTTTTCTTTCTTTTCTTTCTTCTTCTTTTCTGGTGGAGTTATGTCAAATTTCTCCGAACCATATTTATGTAAAAGTTCTTTGTCCTTTAATAGCTCATCTATTCTGTTTTCTATTTCATCTTCAAGAACAGCGCATGTGTCTTCTTTGCATTCTAAGAACTTTTGTTGGACTTCATCTTTCCAATCGGCGTCATCTCTGTCAACAAGTCTGTCATTGACAAATTTTAAGACTGCTCTGCTTAATGTTTTATGGTTCTTGTCATATTCCCAGAAACAGAACTTTAGAACAAATTCACCTTTCTTGTTTACACTATGTAAGATTTTATGGTCGACAGATGTTTTGCTGTCGAAAAGTTTGTCTCGAATATAGATAGCGAAATCGCTAGACATTTTCTAAAAGATAAAAATTTTAATTTTTCTAAAAATATGTTAGAAAAAAAGTTTGCTGACATTGACAAGAAATTTGAGAATGTTTTAAACAAGAACAAGAGGAAGTTAGAAAATGCTCAGATAAAACCTATACATGACAAGTTCTTATTTGCTCAGAATGGTATAACAGGTCTAATTGCACCACCTGGGTCGGGTAAGACTTTCACTTATCTTAAAATGGCTGCACAACAACAAGAACTAGATGAGAAGAACCCATTCTATGAGTTAGTTGTCATTTGTAGTACTTCTGGTCAATTTGACCAAACCGTCAATTCGTTCAAAGATATTATAAAGAAGTCTAAGTTAGTATGTATAAAAGACTCTGAGTTGTTGGATTGGATAAAGAAGTACCAAAGAAGGGTTTTGAAGTATAATGCTATAAATGAGTATATAAATTCTAAGTTCAAAGACCCAAATGAGGAAATGCAGAGAATATTAGAGAAGAAACACTTCAGAAACAAACAGAAAGAGATAGAATACATTTCGAAGAAATTGCAATCTTACGATTGGAAGACATACCCTCATAGATGTCTTCTTATCTTAGATGATTTCGCCTCTCATCCTTTGTTAAAGAACAGAGAACAAGATATGTGTCGAATTCTTAAGAAGCTCAGACACTTTAACATCTCAGTTGTCATTTGTGTACAGACAGCAAAGAGTTTAAGTAAGGATGTAAAGAGAATACTGACTGACATTGTACTTTTCCCCGGATTGTCCGAAGACGATTTCATGGAACTTATGAAAGAGTCCATGGCAGGTAAGTTTGACAGACATGAACTATGGGAGAAGTACAAAGTCATACAAGACCCTCATACTTCTTTCAGAATTCATATCTACGCAAACAAAGTTCAAATTGTAAAAAGTCAAGCTTGAAAAATAAAGAGTGCAATTTACTCTACTTGTTTGAAGTTGTCAAAATACTCTGTTATTTTTTCCTTTAACAATGGCAAATCTTCTTTGAAGGTAAGTATTGTACAACCTTTAATATCATAGTGTGTTTGAGGTAACGTATCTTGAACTATTTGTTTCACATCTTCATTTGGGGTCATTGAAATCGGTAAGTTTTCGCGATAGAACCAATTTCTGTCAGATTTGTAAATCTTAGCAAGGTCGTAAAAGCTTTTGTTGTTTCTTCTGACTAAATGCAACATAACCATGTCACTGTCTTCTTCATTTTCCATCTCTTCAGTATAAATCATATACTTATAGTTCTTTTCCTTTCCTTTTGGTACCGAACGTGGTATTCTTTTCTGAATGCTTTTGTCTTTTGCTTCAAGCTTGTTCTCTAGCTCTTCACGTTCTTGTCTATGAATTTCATCTAACATCATGAAAATATAACAAACGTAACGAGGTGAAGCCCACATTGCAACAGCATTTACAAGAAGTCTATGTAATACCAGCCTCTCAAACCATTTAGCAAATTTTTACGATTTTCGTACGGAATCTCGACTCGCGGTTTTCCTCGGGTCGCAAACATATGAGGAAATTCTTCTAAAAGTTCTTTTTGTCTGTTGGTTTTCAAACCAATGATGTGCTTGCTTTGTAGAACGAAGAGCATTCAAAATACTTTGCATTTGGTACATATCGTCTTTGACCGAACGAATGAGACGTAACTGTTTGTTATACTGTATGTACTCGTATTCTTCATTTATGGCTTCATGAACGATAGCAGTTGTTGTGTTCTCTGATGTTGACATATCTGTCCTTACATACAAAATAAAAAAATAAATAAAAATAAAACTAACTTTATTTTTTCTATCTTAAGGAAATTCACTGTTTTCATGAGTTTTAGGCGACCCCGAAGGAAGTCGGTCTCGCTGTTCTTCACTGTTTTCGTACGGAATCTCTACCCTCGTGAATTTTCATGACTTCTTCGTAAATGTTTTGTCAAGACTTCTTCGTAAATGTTTTGTCAAACATGAACGTATATGTTTTGTCAAACATGAACGTATATGTTTTGTCAAACATGAACGTATATGTTTTGTCAAGACTTCTTCATCGTAATGAGCGTAAATGTTTTGTCAAGACTTCTTCGTAAATGTTTTGTCAAAACTTCTTCGTACATGCTTTGTCAAGACTTCTTCATCGTAATGAGCGTAAATCAGACAAAAATAATGTTTAGGTGAAGAGGTGCGATCTCACCTGTTTTTTCACCTGTTTTCTCACATGGTCTAAAACATACAAAACTCATGAAATTTGGTCATTTTTCAGCAAAAATAATGTTTAGGTGAAGTGGTGCGATCTCACCTGTTTTTCACCTGTTTTCTCACAAGCGTTTTACATGGTAAACGTTATTTTTACATGTATTTTTCAGCAACTTCGTCAAATAATTTTATAGCTTTATCTATCTCATCTACTTCAAACGTTTCTTTACCTTTCGTGGGAGCACCATACATTTTCTCAAACTTTTCAAGTAGTTCTGTTTCTGCAGCTCTCATATCGTTAACGAACACAACCTTGACTATATTGACTGTACTGTCATATCTTAGAGTTATATTATATGTTCTTCCTATCTTATATCTCTTTGTATTGAAGTCCTTCGGTTTCTTGAACGATGTAAAGTAAGCCTTCCACTGCAAACGTTCCGTATCGAATGAACCATATGTTTATGAAGTTATATCCAACAACTGGGTCTAACCATAACAAAACTATTGGTATAAGACTTTTGTCGATGAGATATGCTGTAGTTCCATAGAATCTTACCGATATCATAAGCTCAGGATTTCTTGTCAAAATTTTCTGAGTTGAAGCAATTCCAACCCAATGGTATGTTTTCTTTCCAGATGGAGATAAAATGTCTGACAAAGAATATTTGTTGTATTTCTTTGAGTATCTTACGTTTAAATCACCTATTCTAACCACTTTGGTGTCATTGTCTATCTTTTTAACTGTTTCAAACTCAGTGTTTGTCATATATGTTCTTACATACAAAATAAAAAAATAAATAAAAATAAAACTAACTTTATTTTTTCTATCTTGTATAAAAGATATGATTTCAGGGATTTTTTTTACGAAGTGCAAAAGTTCTCTTCGTAAAAAAATAACAGTTATATAATGAAATTTGGTCATTTTTTCACGATTTTCATGAGTTTTAGGCGAGTAAGATTTTCTATCTTGTATAAAAGATATGATTTCAGGGATTTTTTTACGAAGTGCAAAAGTTCTCTTCGTAAAAAAATAACAGTTATATAATGAAATTTGGTCATTTTTTTACGATTTTCATAGAGTTTTGGCGACTGGGGTTTCTTACCTACTCGCTGTTCTTCATGATTTTCGTACGGAATCTCTACCCTCGGTTTTCCTCGGGTAGCAAACATATGAGGAAATTCATGAAATTTGGTCATTTTTTTCAGCAAAAATAATGTTTATGTTAGCATGTTAGATCTAACCTCTTTTCTAACCTCTTTTCTAACATGGTCTAAAACACACAAAACTCATGAAATTTCATACGGAATTCAGCAAAAATAATGTTTAGGTGAAGAGGTGAGATCTCACCCGTTTTTTCACCCGTTTTCTCACAAGCGTTTTACATGGTATATGTTGCGATGGTTCATGACTTTAAACAGTTTTGTAGCTTCTATTTCTTCGCTGAGGATATCGAATGTTTTAACTATGCCGAAAGTCTCTTTATACTTCTTCTTGACGTCAGATAGAAGGAAATCTTCTGCTGTTGGATAGTTTTTGTCAAGACTTCATTGTAAATGACCAAAAATATATTTTATGTTAGAATGTTAGATCTAACATGTTTTCTAACACGTTTTCTAACATGGTCTAAAACACACAAAACTCATGAAATTTGGTCATTTTTCCTCAAAAATAATGTTTATGTTAGAATGTTAGATCTAACACGTTTTCTAACATGGTCTAAAACACACAAAACTCATGAAATTTCATACGGAATTCAGCAAAAATAAAGTTTATGTTAGCATGTTAGATCTAACACGTTTTCTAACACGTTTTCTAACATAACTATTTACAAGCGTTTTACATGGTATATGTTGCGATGGTTCATGACTTTAAACAGTTTTGTAGCTTCTATTTCTTCGCTGAGGATATCGAATGTTTTAACTATGCCGAAAGTCTCTTTATACTTCTTCTTGACGTCAGATAGAAGGAAACCTTCTGCTGTTGGATAGTTTTTGTTCAGAAATGCTAACATGTCCATTTTATCTTCTGCTGGCTTTTCTGCTTCTTTCTTTAAGTCTGCATAGTCGTTTCTCATTCTTTCTATCTCTTTGACGGAGTAGTTATATTTCCTCATTGCTGCTTTACATTTAGAACATTGCGGGTTCATTTTTGCGTTATATTCTGAAACCTTACCTGCTAGAACAACTAAAGCGTCAATGGTTTTCTTTAACTCAAAAGTTGCTGGTTTTATTTGTTTGTTCCATACTTTGCCTCTTCTATCTTTATCTCTTATCTGCCATACACATTCAGCAACTAACGAAACAAAGTTGTCGTAGGTCTTAAACTCCCCGGATTTATATATGTCAGAAACATTCTTATATACCATGTCGCAATCTTTGTCCATAACCTTATGGTTGCAATGAAATCCTAGAAACTCATAGTTTACCTTTCGTATGAACTTCTTTATTTCTACTGAGTCAGTTGCTTTGACTTCAATTTCGTCGAATTCAGGAATAGTTAGTTTTTGTTGTTGGATTTCAGGCAATTTGGGTAAATGGTCAATAATGTCCTCCATTTCATAAAGATACTGTTCATTTGTTTCATCTTTCGCACTACAGTCTAAATTACTTGTTAACAGTTCTTGCTTTATCTTCTGGATTTTTGTTTCAAAAGTATATGAAGAAGGAATGAAGCTTTTCATCTCTACTAACATAGATGTTGGATTCATGACTAACGAGTTTGGTGCTGTTGTTGTTTGAAGTGTTGTAGAACCTATTGTTGAAATCATATCTTTTATACAAAATAAAAAAAATAAAAAAAATAAAACTAACTTTATTTTTTATTTCGGGAAAATTCATGAAAATTCAAGAGTTTTAGACCATGTTAGAAAACGTGTTAGAAAACGTGTTAGATCTAACATTCTAACATAAACTTTATTTTTGGGTCCTTTACACTCATTACGAAGAAGTCTTGACAAAACATTTACGCTCATTACGATGAAATCATGAAAATTCAAGAGTTTTAGACCATGTTAGAAAACGTGTTAGATCTAACATGCTAACATAAACTTTATTTTTTGGTCCTTTACACTCATTACGAAGAAGTCATGACAAAACATTTACGAAGAAGTCATGAAAATTCAAGAGGTTAGAAAACGTGTTAGAAAACGTGTTAGATCTAACATTCTAACATAAACTTTATTTTTGGGTCCTTTACACTCATTACGAAGAAGTCTTGACAAAACATTTACGAAGAAGTCATGACACTTTTTCATTAGATAACTGTTATTTTTTGACGAAGTGAACATTGACACTTCGTCAAAAAAATCCCTGAAATCATATCTTACATACAAAATAAAAAAATAAAATGACACTTTTTCATTAGATAACTGTTATTTTTTGACGAAGTGAACATTGACACTTCGTCAAAAAAATCCCTGAAATCATATCTTACATACAAAAAAATACAAAATAAAACTAACTTTATTTTTTCTATCTTAAGGAAATTCATGAAAATTCATGAGGTTAGAAAACGTGTTAGAAAACGTGTTAGATCTAACATTCTAACATAAACTTTATTTTTGGGTCCTTTACACTCATTACGAAGAAGTCATGACAAAACATTTACGAAGAAGTCATGACAAAACATTTACGAAGAAGTCTTGACAAAACATTTACGTTCATGTTTGACAAAACATTTACGAAGAAGTCTTGACAAAACATTTACGTTCATGTTTGACAAAACATTTACGAAGAAGTCTTGACAAAACATTTACGTTCATGTTTGACAAAACATTTACGAAGAAGTCTTGACAAAACATTTACGTTCATGTTTGACAAAACATTTACGAAGAAGTCATGACAAAACATTTACGAAGAAGTCATGAAAATTCAAGAGGGTAGAAAACAGGTGAAAAAACAGGTGAGATCGCACCACTTCACCTAAACATTATTTTTGCTGAATTCAGCAACAAAATGAACGAGGTCAGGATGTATGTAAATACATTTGAATTCATTCATAACACCCTTTGTAAGCTCATAAAATGCTTGTTTTGAGGTCGAGCCACTTTTGGCTCCACCGTATTCTTTCAACCAAAACTCAAGAATTTCCTGCATGAATTTTGTATAAAAAGCAACCGTCTGAATTCAGACTGTTGCTATATTCTTCACAAAACATTTACGCTCATTACGATGAAGAAGTCTTGACAAAACATGTACGATGAAGTCATGACAAAACATATACGAAGAAGTCTTGACAAAACATATACACTCATTACGATGAAGTTTTGACAAAACATTTACCCGACATTCTCGTCAAATACAAAAAAATGAAAAAGTGTCATTTTTTTCATGTCAGAAGACTCGAAGGTGCAACACTTCCAAAATACCGACGAACTCAGAAGAGCAGCATGGCAGTATCTTCTTGACAACTTCTTTGAGTTCTCCAGGTACACCTTGGAAAATGCTGAAGAACTCCGACACAGAGAATTTGGAGAAATTGCACTCCAATACTACCTTGACAAACAAAGGGTAAAATAAGACTAAAAACTTAACGTTTAAAAAGTGACATTTTTAATGAGCTCCGAGTCACCGAGAAAACTTGGTCAGATGTTAGCAGCTTACTTCCCCGAGGAGGATGGAAGCGTTACATACATCAGGTTCAAAAACAACGAACCTGGAATTGCGTACAAAATTCGCAATTACATGACCATGGAAGAGTACGAAAGGTTCCTACAAGAGAAACCAGCTCTAAACAACTCAGAAAAGAAAGAATAAAAAGTTTAACTCGTAATTGTTTATTTTTTTTACTTGTATGGGCAAGCTGCAAGAATGAAGTCGACTATCTCAGTCTTTGTCTTGACCAGTTGGACGGCTCTTGCGAGTACGTCTGTTTTGCGGTCTCCAGCTGGTGTCTGACCTTCGTAATTGCGCATGTTCTTGAGAGCTCCAACTGTAAATGGTTGTAGGATGAAGAGTCTCTCAGACTGCTTGAGGTAGTCTTCACGGTCACGAACCGAATCTGTGGTACGAGTCGAATCGGTCGATTTGAGGGAAGAGAGTGAGAGCCTGTCTTCTTCCATTGGGGTAGTAGCATACTCTTTGCGTAAGCGGTTCAGACCTTCCTCGAACTCTTGGTCTCTCTTGGATTGAGATTGGAATTGTGGGGCAGGGTTTTGCATAAACATCCAAGGGTTGGGGAAGTAAGGCATAGGTTGAGGAGGGTAGTTCGGGAAGCCTTGTGGTGGGTAGTAACCTTGAGGTGGAAATTGGTAGTAATTTGGTGGAGGTACTTGCTGGAACTGAGGTTGTTGTGGTTGCTGCTGGAGTTCTGCAGCTTTCGGTTCTGCTGGTTCGGGAATGGACTGGGTTGGTGGGACGTGGGACATTGTCTTGAAACAGTACAAATATTGTTCTGAAGCAGTGCAAGTCTTGTTCTGAAAAAGTACAAATATTGTTCTGAAGTAGTGCAAGTATTGTTCTGAAAAAGTACAAGTATTGTTCTGAAGTAGTGCAAGTATTGTTCTGAAAAAGTACAAGTATTGTTCTGAAAAAGTACAAGTATTGTTCTGAAAAAGTACAAGTATTGTTCTGAAACAGAAAATTTTTCTCACAAATTGAGAGCTTTTACGGGAAATTTGTTCTGAAAAAGTACAAGTATTGTTCTGAAAAAGTACAAGTATTGTTCTGAAGAAGTGCAAGTCTTGTTCTGAAAAAGTACAAGTATTGTTCTGAAGCAGTGCAATGGACAACATCGAGCCATTAGATGAGGCAATTTACCTTATAGAGATAAATGAAGTTGTTAAGCAGTACTTGGGCAAGGACAAAGCCAACAAGTCCCTCGGCTTCTGGTTGTCTGGAAGAGGTGCGCTGAAAATCGAAATTGAAACCGGAATTCCAATTCAAATACCAGAAAAAACTCCTGTAGACGACATAAAGGAGATGAAGAAAGAAGCTCTTCTCAAGTTCTTTGCAAAGCGCCCATGGATACAACTTCCAAACAGAGAGAGTCCAATTCCACGAATTATACAAATTCTCAGAGCACTGTTCCACTTCTCAGGACGGCCGTTCTTCATAACCTCAGAAGGCGACATCCAAACAATTCAGTAAACCTTAACGTTTAGAGTAAAAACATTTTTTTTCATTTTTTGAATGAAGCAAGTTAAATTCGTCCCACACCAATCTCAATGGACCGATGAAGAGTTTCAAGCCATAGTTGAAGACGTTGAGAACGACATAGACGGCGAACTTGAAGGAGCTCAAATCACAATTGCAACCAAAATTGCAGGAGTCAAGGAACAGATAGCTCCACTTAAAGCTACCAAAGCTACTCTTGACCTCATGGATAGTTACCGTTTAGATGTCAAGAGTGGAATAAGACAATTAAAATTAAAACTTCTAAACTACGAAGCTATACTCCAAAAGTTAGCAGAAATGAGAAGACTTTACCAGAGCTACTTACATGTAAGGGACTTACCTTCAAGCAGTCCGACCAAAGATGAATTTGTTGACATTGTCCCAATTTTGTCCGAAAGTCAGCTCAGATGTTTCGAACTGCTCCCAACATATCCGGAATATGAACGTTTGCCTGAACTCTTTCGGTTCCTCAAAAAACGTTTTTTGGTTCTCATGTTCGAAACTTTTATCGGAAGAGACAACAAACGTTCAGAAGAAGAGCAAGATATTATTTTAAACTTGTTGTATGACTTAACTGTCATAACAAGCTTTTTGAAGTAAAACCGTCATTCTCAAACCACTTCATTTTTTCGATGTCCGAACAAGCACCGAAGCCAAACTCAATGGCAGATGTCCTTTCAAGGTTGCCAGACAAGCGCCCAGTTCAAATTCAAATTGCCCAATTGAACGCTCATCTGACAAACTCCATTAAGACTCTCCAAAATAGTCTTATGTTAGAGATAACCAATCTCAAAGCCAATGTCCTCACGAACCAAGCTTCCAATGAGAAATGCCTGTACGAGTTCGCGGAAACCTTGCGCCAATACAACATAGAGAACCAAAACCTTGCCCGACTCATCTACCGTTTCTTCGAAGAGATTGACACCATCTGGAAGGTACTCGGAAAGGACAGAACCTCCAACACCGTAATTCGTGAACACAGAATTGCCGAAGGTATTATCAAAGAAGAGGAAGAAGAGGAAGAAGAGGAAGAAGAGGAAGAAGAAGAAGAGAAACACGAAGAAAAGGAAGTTTGGGCAACCCTTGTTGCCGATGACGCTTACGAAATTTCCCAACCCTACCCATACCAAATCCGCAACAAGGAGACAGGCAAGGTTCTTACCCCAGTCCTCAACAACTTGGGACACTTGAACCTTAACCTTCGGAATCGCGGTTCAATCTCCATGGGCAAGCTTGTCGCAATTCAATGGGTTCCAAATCCAGACAAGAAGACGAGGGTCAGACACATTGACGGTGACAAGCTCAACAACCGTAAGGAGAACCTCGAGTGGTTCTAAGAGTAAAAAAATTTTATTTTAGGGGAAACCCCAAGTAAATTTAGGTGTTTATTTGGATAAGTATGTTAAATTAAGGGTAATTTGCAAAATTAGTTCCCGACCTTTGAATTGGGCTCTTTCGTTATCCCAGTTGCGTAGGAGGTCGTCCCAGAGGAGTTGGTAGAATTGCCAATCCAAGGACGATTTGTCCTCCCAGGCATTGAGGATGTACTGCTCGTAGAGTTTCATGACCTCTGCCTTGCACCAGACACCCTCTCCCTTGGAACGTAAGGCTTCTTCGAAGTGCTCGAATGCGATTGGCTGCGTGACCATCCGAAATGACACTTTTTGTCCGTTTGGTCAATGTTTGTGTCTCGTGCCATAGTCGACGAAAATACAGACAAACAGGTTATATATGAGTTTGAGACCAAGAATGGTGTAACTCGACCTGTCCGATTCAAAGACTCCGAGGGCGACCATGAAATTAAACGGAAATTAGCTAGGAAGGAATATAAAATGGACTGGTTGCCACCACCTCCACCTCCACCACCTTTACCTGTTCCTCAAGTAAATAAGCCTTTCCCGTTCCCAAGAATTCCCACATTTTAATTCAAATTCGAATAAAAATTTTTTATTTCATGCAATGTTTTATTTCTGTGCCGTCTTCAAGTATGCCCCAGTACTTACGCTTGGAGAGGACATGAACTTCGGTGAAAATTTTGTCCAATTTGAATTGACCCATCTTTTCACCGACCATGCCCATTTCAATGAGTTTGTTGTACCCTTCTTCGTTCGTCATGAGTGCGTCAATGTTCTCATAGTAAACCTTCACTTTGGATTTGACTTCGGAGAAGAATTTGTTGTAGTTGTCAAGGACTGCCTTTGCGAACTGAGGGTAAGACCAATGTTCGACAATAGGTTTTAATGTGGTTACTAAGCCACTTTGACCTTGAGTGAATTCGTACTTCAAAACAAAAGGAGAAAACCTTTCAACAAAGTTGTCGACCTTCTCATAATGTTTACTCTTCATCTCTTGAGGTTTCTTAATGGAATATCCCCATGTCGAATTCATAAGCAATTTGAGTGTCATTGCAAGTTTGGGGTTTGAAGCTTTCCTAATATCATACAGTTGTTGTATGACTTTTCCAACTGTATAGTTCCTTCCCGGGAACTCACCATCTTCGTTTGGAATTCCAGTCGGAATATATTGGACAAACCTCATGTATGCAGCGTTAAGGTCGACATAGTATATCTTTTCATCTGAGTCGAACTTGTCGCAACCAATTGGTCCAGTTTGTGGAAATTCAAGTGAGTCTCTTATCTTCTGAGAAACTTCTCCTGTTATCTCATAAACATCGTCGAAGCAACCTGTTTCATATAAAACCTTCTGACCTAACTCAGATGCTCTCCAATACAATTTGACGTCAATTGGATGTCTCAATGGAAGTTTGTTTATAGCATCTTGAAGTTCTTGCAACCTCATTGGAAGTTCTTCTGGTTCAGGTTGGTATCCGAACAATCCAACTCCTTGTGGAATTGTGTACTTCTTTTGTACTAGAACTTTGTCTGGAACAACTTTTGGTCTTGCTAACAGTGAAAAGTTTGTTTCGTCTTTTGGTACAAAAGTTTCTGTCAGCTTGTCATCTGGAATTGGTTCCAACAAACCTTTCTCGAAAAGAATGTTTACAGCTCTGACAATGTTGCACTTGCCTTTTCCGAACAATGGGTTTGTAAGACTTTCGTTCAACATGAAGTGGTTGTGGACAATTGCAATCTTCAACCATGGTAAATTGAACTCAACAACATAGTCGTCATGTGAAGAACCTTTAGCTGTAGGTATGTTGACTCGGATATTGACATTTGCCAACGGTGCAATTTTTGCCAATTGACCTCTGAGAATGTACCTTGTCTTCACACATGACTCAAGATACTTCATCTTCTCTTCTGAAACAAGACCAGAGTTCCTGAGACATGTAAGAATGCAAGGTTCGTTGACAATTGTTTCAATTGAATTGTAAATTCCATACCTTGTCAAGTCAATGTCAGACTTATTTATGAACGGGAAGTATCCAGCATGTTGTCTGACTGCTTGAGGGTTAGGTTGGTACCATTCGAACTTGACACTTGCAATTCCTTCAATTGCATTCAAAATGTCTGAGTCGGAGTCAACCATTTGTTCTCTCTTTGTAGTCTTGAAAGCGTCAAGAAGCATTGCAGCTGTTGTGACATTGCCATGTGCATAGTAAATGTGACCATCCAAATCTGTTATGGTCAATCTGAGATTGTATCCTTTCTTATTTCCATCTTGAATTGCAGCAAGTACTCCCATGAAGCCTTCTTTGTTCTTTCCTTCGTCAAAGTTTACTGTAAAGGTTCGACCAGATGTAATTTGACTTCTAACTTCACGGTACTTCTCATATGCATATCTTGTTCTTTCCATGGGAGCATGACCATCCTCTGCACTACCTTTTTTCCTTCTCAAAGGATGCAATTGTTCGTCATGTTTCCAGTAGAATCTGGCAAAGCCGTCGTGTCCTTCAACTTGAGGTTCACTAACATCGAAAGGCATGTCCATAAGACGTTCTTCTTCTAACCTCTCTAGTCTGTTTGGATAATTTGCACGTGCTGTTTCCAAATCCATTTCGTAGCGAAGACCAGCCAGTTTGTCATAGACTTTTATGGGTCTTCCCTTCCTATATTTAAACTTCTTCGAAACTCTCCAACCATATCTTTGCAACTCTGCTTTTATTCTAGCAGATTTTCTATCCATTCTATATGGGGGCATTTTTATAAAAATAAAAAAATATTTTTTTCTTTACTTAACATAACCGCCTGCTGCCATAAGTCTTTGACGCCAACCCATACCAGCTAATGAAGGTTGACTTGGTTTAGTTTGGAAACTAAACTTTGGTTTTGGTTTATCTTCAGTTTTTGGTTTTTCTTCTTCTATCGGTTTTTCGTCACTTTTCGGTTTCTCTGACTTTACTTCACCTGCAGGAACAGTTGTGTCGTCAACATCTTCATAAATATCATATGCCATTTGTTTTTGTTTTCCTTTCAACTTTTTGTGTTTGTTGTAAAGTTTAGAATATTTCGACTCTAAGTCAATGAGATGTTCTATAATGAACTGTTGGTCAGTGAAGTAAAAAACGGTTTTCGACAGATGTTTATATGACACTTTTTGTTCAGCACAAAAAACTACTCGGTCAAAGTGTTGTCAGTTTTGTAAAATAACCGTCCTATCTCATTCTATAAGGGGGAAAGGCTTCTCAAAGTATACTTCCTTAGAACGCCCGTAACTTTTCCTGTAGCGACGATAGACCCTTACTTGTCCGGACAAAGTTATACTATTTTGAGTGCTCTACAAAAAAGTCAACAGCGACGACTCTCAAAAACCGTTGTCTAAAAAGTTTTACCGTTGGACAAAAAAGTATATATAGAAAACAAAAAACGTTTATAGTTCATTCAATATTTGAGATGGAACGGTTTGCCAACGGTAACTATTAAATAAAATAAAAAAATAGAGGGGGTCTCCGTTGGTAAAAACCGTTTATTTTAAACTTTTCTATGAGTAGTCCGAAAAAAACAGTTTATTTTTCATAATGGAAGGAAGAAAAAGTGTCGCAAACAATTCGTCGACTACCTCTGCAGTTAAAGTTCCTACAACTTATGTCTCACCATTCTTAAAACCCTTACAACCTCCTATAATACCAAAGCAACTTCCTCATACAATTCAAGACAATTTGTCCAACAATTTGAGTTCTTCTTCTCAAAACACAACAGATACAGTTGTCCAAACAGCACCAGAACAAGTTTCACATAGTTCTACAATTCAGGGTCAATCAGACTCAAATTCGAATTCAAACCAACCTTCAAACGCACCAGAACAAGTTTCACATGTCTCAACCTCTCAAACTACACAGCAAACACAAAGACAAACTTCCAATTCTGGTACAATTCCAATTGTACTTACTCATGAAGAAGAAGAAGAATATTTGGTAGAACCAGAAATAAAAGAAAGCGATATTCGTAAGGACGCAGTCAAGAGACTCGAACAATTCATGAAGAACTACCCGCAAAACTTAAGCATTCAAGACACAAATAACTATTCAGATTTCTACAATGATATTATTGAAGCCGTCAAAAAATTTGAAGATAATGTTCAAAATCCAACAAACCTTTCAGAATTCTTCTTCAAATTGCTTCCTTATACAGCAAATATCATTGGTTTACAGTTCTGTGACGAGTTTATTCAAACATTCGGTCCCAGACAGCAAAGAAGTCTATACGCACGTCTGAAACTGTTTCATCCTTATCCGCTTACATATAATTGGATTGAAGAACTTCAAGAACACGGAAAGGAACAACATTTCAAGTTCTATGTAGATGTTCCTCAAGGAAAGCTTGCTAAGACATTCACAATACAACCAAAACAATTCTATGAAGACTTTCTTCACGTAATTTCAACTATTGCTATGGTTGAGCCTGAAAGGGTTACATTCGGTCAAAGTGTTTCTCTATATAATGTTCGTCAAGGACTTGAGCCGCTTAAAATAGCCGAGTTTACCTCCTCCTCAGCACAGCTCAAATTGGACTGCGAATTCCAATTTGTTGGAAACTCCAAGTTCTCTCTCCATACACCATTCAACCAACACATCCGTATCTTCATTGCCGGATATGTTGGAGACCCTATAACAAATGATGATGAAGAAGAAATTTCAGAAGAAGCAATGGAGGAAGAAGAAGAAATTTCAGAAGAAGCAATGGAGGAAGAAGAAGAGTCCTCCGAATTCACACCAGAAGACTAACAATTTTCCGAATAAAAACTTCATTTATACTAAACATCTTCGGGGCTAGAGGGCGCAACGCGCCTGGAAGCCCCATTACCTTTTTTTTTCCTTTCTTTACCCTGTCCTAATAAACGCATTTTGTAAAAAAATATAGTGCATCAGTTTCGAACTAGCGTCCCCGGTACCCAATAGTAAGGGGTAATAACCATTCGACCATTTGCCACGTAAAGCATCGCCAGATTTTTTTGTATTTAATCACTCCCAAAACACTGTTTTGGCTTATTGGAAGCATATCAGACATAATCGCCATAATCAAAAAATCTATATACCCAATAAGTAATAAATTTGTCGATATAGATTTTCCATAAAATTAGTTTTTAGTCTGATCTTAAAATAAATTTAATTTTTTATAAAGAAAATCACATTTAAAAGTACCTTTTTAGTAGCTCGAAATCCTGTTGGTGGATTTCGGGCGTACTTCAAAATTAGCTTTTCTTCTACATATGCAAGCTATATTTTAAATATGGGGCAAATCGGATCGGCGAAAGGAGTTTAGTTACCTTTATAATAGATTTTGAAGTGTAAAACGCGAACCCGATTTCTAATTATTGAAAGGGATATAGTTTAAACTGACACGAATTTACAAATAAGAGGATCCTGATCCAGTTATTCTATTTTTGTTGAATATTTTTTACAAAAGGTTAATTTGTATTCCATAAACCCATAGCAAATTTCACTCTATAGATAAAAAAAAAAAAGTAGTGGGGCTTCCAGGCACTTCGTGCCCTCTAGCCCCGAAGATGTTTAGTATAAATGAAGTTTTTATTCGGAAAATTGTTAGTCTTCTGGTGTGAATTCGGAGGACTCTTCTTCTTCCTCCATTGCTTCTGGGAAGAAGCCTTCTTCTGGGTCGAAAACATTATATAATGTGTCGCTTTTCACAAATTATATATGTTTTCATTTTTTGTCACTTTTCTGTCACTTTTCAGGGAAAAACATTTTTATTATTATATATAAATGAATTTTACAAAACCACCGTTACCGTTCTTTGGAAATAAGAGTAGATGTAAAGATATTATATTGAGAGAACTTAAGAAACTACCGAATGGTCTAACATTTGTAGATTTGTTCGGTGGAAGTTTCTATATATCCCATTTGTGCCATACAATATTCCCAGACTCAAAGATTATATGCAATGACTTCGACAACTATATGGACCGTCTCAAACATATTCCAGACACAAACAATATATTGAAAGAGTTAAAAGAAAAGATACCTATAGGTAAGATGGAACGTATACCATTAGATAAGAAAAATATTGTGAGAGAGGTTTTGAAAAAAGCAGAATATATAGACTGGGATAGTATATCTGCTAGACTATTATATAGTGGTGCTATAAGAGTTCATGACATTGAAACACTTATGTCAAAAGTTTTATATCTTAACTATACAAATGTTTTCAAAGAGGACATAGAAAAATATATTGAGGGTATAGAGTTTGTGAGATGTCATTGGACAGATTTGTATGAAAAATATAAAGACAAGGAAAATGTTTTCTTTATAGTGGACCCGCCGTTCTATAACACATGGGATTTTCAATACCAAGTAGACTGGACTTTGAGAGACTCTTTAGAAACTTTAGACGTTTTACATAACCATCCATGCTTTTACTTTACATCCGATAAAAGTGGTTTGGAAACCGTTATGAGATGGTTAGAGGACATACATGACTATGAGTTTAGATATGACATGATAGAATATGAGAGAGGTCCTATAAACCGGAGAAAGTGTCATAACAAAGAAATTTTATTAGTAAGTAAATGTGGTTTGAAATAGGACTACTTGTTTTAGGTTTTTTCCATTGTGTCATTTATTTATTTGACGTGGCAGAAAAGTACAGAGAATATGAAGATGAACCAATGCCTGCAAATGTTCAGTATATGTACTCGTAAGAGATATTTTTATCTAATATTAAATGGACGCACAGAACTTAGCGAATGCGCAGCAACCTGGACAACCAAACCCAGAGAATATTCCAAATGAAGTTAGAATACAAACTGCAATGGCAAACTATGGTCAAGTGCCAACAGATGTACAAATGCAAACTGCCATGTCAAATGACGCTGCGTTAGGTTTGCCACCATGGTATGCAAATATGAGATGGAAAGAGTTTTATACAAACCCTGAAGTGGGATATAAACAACTTTATGCAGATGACGCGAACACAGGAGTTGACCCAGAATATGTTTTCTACCAGAGGAGAAACAGAATGTATGAGCTCCAGTTAAAGAATGCTATGGAACTCAACAGGAAACGTAAGAGACTAGGCGGACATTAGATTTTTACATATAGTAAAATGGGTTTCTTCAGTAGTATTGGAAACTTCTTCAGAAGAGTTGGAAGAGGTATATGGAATGGAATAAAATCTGTCGGAAAAGGAATTTGGAACGGTGTCAAAAATATTGGTAAAAGAGTAGGTCAGTTCGTTGGTATTATACCTAAAGACCCTGAACCAGAAGAACAAGCTCCTGTTATACAACAACCTGAACCTGCACCACAGTCTAGTTGGCAACCAAATCCAACACCTCAACCGTATTAAAAAATTATATTTGGACGAAAGAACTTTTACATAAATATGGTTGCGCCAAATTGACATAACTCCACCAGAGGAGAAGAAGAAGAGAGAAAAGAAAGAAAAGAAAGTAGAAGAAGAGAAGAAAAGAACCTGAACCAGTTTCAGAGAAAAGAAATTTGACATGTTAAAAATAACTTTTATTTTTAGAACATTTCTGGTCAATGTCAATGTTCTCTTCCTCTTTAGGAGCAAACACTGGCTTAGACTCTAAAATCTTTTTACCCAACTTACCTTGAACTTCACAGCTATTCTTAGACTCATAATTATTCATAGTCGGCTGTTTCTTTGGTTCATAAGGTATAACAAGTTTGTATGCTTGCCTTCTTTAAGGTTTGAAAACCTTCTGTCAAATTTTCTTTGACTGCTAACAAAACCTTCTATGTCTAAGTCTTCAAATTTCGCACCCATTTTTAGTCACAATAGCAACTTAACTGGTTCGATGTTCCAAACTTTGTCAAATGAGACTTTTCAAAATGGTAGAAGTAAACATTCAAATAAGCGAATGGGTCTAGTTCTTCTTTGACTTCTGTCATGTACTTATTACTGAGATGAAATTTTGTATCTTTTCTACGGATAAAAAAATATTTTTTAAAATTTACTCAGAAAATTTTTCTTTGTAATATACGCCATTCTGAAATCTAAAGATTTTTGAACATTTGCCAAGAATGTACGTTTAGACGCTGTCAATAACCATATTCTTGACAATATTGTTTATATTCATCATATAAAGACCTTTCATCTAATGACACAAAGTCAGTTTCATCTACGAATAGTCATAAACACTCTTGTTTGCTTCTAACAATGTTTTTGTCTCTTCGGTATTGTGGAATTTGTGTTCTTGACATAAATCATTTTACCGTATCCGATGTTTGACAAAAACAATTACGAGAAGTCTTGACAAAACATTTACGTTCAATGTTTGACAAAACATTTACGAAGAAGTCTATGACAAAACATTTACGAACGAAGAAGTTCCATGAAAATTCAAATGAGGGTAGAGAAAACAGGTGAAAAAAACAGGTTGAGTCGCACCACTTCACCTAAACATTATTTTTGCTGAATTCAGCAACAAAATGAACGAGGTCAGATGTATGTAAATACATTTGAATTCATTCATAAGACACCCTTTGTAAGCTCAAATAGGACACCATGCTTTGTTTTGGGTCGAGCCACTCGTCGATGCTCCAAACCACCGTTTTCTTTCAACCAAAACTCAAGAATTTCCTGCTATGAATTTTGTATAAAAAGCAACCGTCTGAATTCAGACTGTTGCTATATTCTTCACAAAAACATTTACGCTCATTACTATGAAGAAGTCTTGACAAAACAGTACGATGAAGTCATGACCAAAACATATACGAAGAAGTCTTGACAAAAAAATATACACTCATTACGATGAAGTTTTGACAAACATTACCCGACATTCTCGTCAAATACAAAAAAATGAAAAAAGTGTCATTTTTTTCATGTCAGAAGACTCGAAGGTGCAACACTTCCAAAATACCGACGAACTCAGAAGAGCAGCATGGCAGTATCTTTCTGAACAACTTCTTTGAGTTCTCCAGGTACACCTTGGAAAATGCTGAAGAACTCCGACACAGAGAATTTGGAGAAATTGCACTCCAATACTACCTTGACAAACAAAGGTAAAATAAGACTAAAAAACTTAACGTTTAAAAAGTGACATTTTTAATGAGCTCCGAGTCACCGAGAAAACTTGGTCAGATGTTAGCAGGCTTACTTCCCGAGGAGGATGGAAGCGTTACATACATCAGGTTCAAAAACAACGAACCTTGAATTGCGTACAAAAATTCGCAAATACATGACCATGGAAGAGTACGAAAGGTCCTACAAGAGAAACCAGCTCTAAACAACTCAGAAAAGAAAGAATAAAAAGTTTAACTCGTAATGTGTTATTTTTTTACTTGTATGGGCAAGCTGCAAGAATGAAGTCGACTATCTCAGTCTTGTCTTGACCAGTTGGACGGCTCTTGCGAGTACGTCTGTTTTTGCGGTCTCCAGCTGGTGTCTGACCTTCGTAATTGCGCATGTTCTTGAGAGCCCAACTGTAAATGGTTGTAGGATGAAGAGTCTCTCAGACTGCTTGAGGTAGTCTTCACGGTCACGAACCGAATCGTGTGGTACGAGTCGAATCGGTCGATTTGAGGAAGAGAGTGAGAGCCTGTCTTCTTCCATGGGGTAGTAGCATACTCTTTGCGTAAGCAGGTTCAGACCTTCCTCGAACTCTTGGTCTCTCTTGGATTGAGATTGGAATTGGTGGCAGGGTTTTGCATAAACATCCAAGGGTTGGGGAAGTAAGGCATAGGTTGAGGAGGGTAGTTCGGGAAGCCTTTGTGTGGGTGAGTAACCTTGAGGTGGAAATTGGTAAGTAAATTTGGTGGGAGGTACTTGCTGGAAACTGAGGTTGTTGTGGTTGCTGCTGGAGTTCTGCAGCTTTCGGTTTTGCTGGTTCGGGAATGGACTGGGTTGGTGGGACGTGGGACATTGTCTTGAAAACAGTACAAATATTGTTCTGAAGCAGTGCAAGTCTTGTTCTGAAAAAGTACAAATATTGTTCTGAAGTAGTTCAAGTATTGGTTCTGAAAAAGTACAAGTATTGTTCTGAAGTAGTGCAAGTATTGTTCTGAAAAAGTACAAGTATTGTTCTGAAAAAGTACAAGTATTGTTCTGAAAAAGTACAAGTATTGTTCTGAAAACAGAATATTTTCTCACAAATTGAGAGCTTTTACGGGAAATTTGTTCTTGAAAAAGTACAAGTATTGTTCTGAAAAAGTACAAGTATTGTTCTGAAGAAGTGCAAGTCTTGTTCTGAAAAAGATACAAGTATTGTTCTGAAGCAGTGCAATGGACAACATCGAGCCATTAGATGAGGCAATTTAACTTATAAGAATATAATGAAGTTGTTAAGCAGTACTTGGGCAAGGACAAAGCCAACAAGTCCCTCGGCTTCTGGTTGTCTGAAGAGGTGCGCGAAAATCGAAATTGAAACCGGAATTCCAATTCAAATACCAGAAAAAACTCCTGTAGACGACATAAAGGAGATGAAGAAAGAAAAGCTCTTCTCAAGTCTTTGCAAAGCGCCCATGGATACACTTCCAAACAGAGAGAGTCCAATTCCACGAATTATACAAATTCTCAGAGCACTGTTCCACTTCTCAGGACGGCCGTTCTTCATAACCTCAGAAGGCGACATCCAAACAATTCAGTAAACCTTAACGTTTAGAGTAAAAACATTTTTTTTCATTTTTTGAATGAAGCAAGTTAAATGGTCCCACACCAACTCATGGACCGATGAAAGTTTCAAGCATAGTTTGAAGACGTTGAGAACGACATAGACGGCGAACTTGAAGGAGCTCAAATCCACAATTGCAACCAAAAATTGCAGGAGTCAAGGAACAGATAGCTCCACTTAAGCTACCAAAGCTACTCTTGACCTCATGGATAGTTACCGTTTAGATGTCAAGAGTGGAATAAGACAATTAAATTAAAACTTCTAAACTACGAAGCTATACTCCAAAAGTTAGCAAAATGAGAAGACTTTACCAGAGCTACTTACATGTAAGGGACTTACTTCAAGCAGTCCGACCAAAGATGAATTTGTTGACATTGTCCCAATTTTGTCCGAAAGTCAGCTCAGATGTGTTTCGAACTGCTCCCACATATCCGGAATATGAACGTTGCCTGAACTCTTTCGGTTCCTCAAAAAACGTTTTTTGGTTCTCATGTTCGAAACTTTTATCGGAAGAGACAACAAACGTTCAGAAGAAAGCAAGATATTATTTTAAACTTGTTGATGACTTAAACTGTCATAACAAGCTTTTTGAAGTAAAACCGTCATTCTCAAACCACTTCATTTTTCGATGTCCGAACAAGCCACGAAAGCCAAACTCAATGGCAGATGTCTTTTCAGGTTGCAGACAAGCGCCCAGTTCAAATTCAAAATTGCCCAATTGAACGCTCATCTTACAAAACTCCATTAAGACTCCCAAAATAGTCTTATGTTAGAGATAACCAATCTCAAAGCCAATGTCCTCACGAACCAAGCTTCCAATGAAAATGCCTGTACGAGTTCGCGGAAAACCTTGCGCCAATACAACATAGAGAACCAAAACCTTGCCGCTCATCTACCGTTTCTTCGAAGAGATTGACACCATCTGGAAGGTACTCGGAAAGACAGAAACTCCAACACCGTAATTCGTGAACACGAATTGCCGAAGGTATTATCAAAGAAGAGGAAGAAGAGGAAGAAGAGGAAGAAGAGGAAGAAGAAGAGAAACACGAAGAAAAGGAAGTTTGGGCAACCCTTGTTGCCGATGACGCTTACGAAATTTCCCAACCCTACCCATACCAAATCCGCAACAAGGAGACAGGCAAGGTTCTTACCCCAGTCCTCAACAACTTGGGACACTTGAACCTTAACCTTCGGAATCGCGGTTCAATCTCCATGGGCAAGCTTGTCGCAATTCAATGGTTCCAAATCCAGACAAGAAGACGAGGGTCAGACACATTGACGGTGACAAGCTCAACAACCGTAAGGAGAACCTCGAGTGGTTCTAAGAGTAAAAAAATTTTATTTTAGGGGGAAACCCCAAGTAAATTTAGGTGTTTATTTGGATAAGTATGTTAAATTAGGGTAATTTGCAAAATTAGTTCCCGACCTTTGAATTGGGCTCTTTCGTTATCCCAGTTGCGTAGGAGGTCGTCCCAGAGGAGTTGGTAGAATTGCCAATCCAAGGACGATTTGTCCTCCCAGGCATTGAGGATGTACTGCTCGTAGAGTTTCATGACCTCTGCCTGCACCAGACACCCTCTCCCTTGGAACGTAAGGCTTCTTCGAAGTGCTCGAATGCGATTGGCTGCGTGACCATCCGAAATGACACTTTTTGTCCGTTTGGTCAATGTTTGTGTCTCGTGCCATAGTCGACGAAAATACAGGCAAACAGGTTATATATGAGTTTGAGACCAAGAATGGTGTAACTTCGACCTGTCCGATTCAAAGACTCCGAGGGCGACCATGAAATTAAACGGAAATTAGCTAGAAGGAATATAAAATGGACTGGTTGCCACCACCTCCACCCACCACCTTTACCTGTCCTCAAGTAAATAAGCCTTTCCCGTTCCCAAGAATTCCCACATTTTAATTCAAATTCGAATAAAAATTTTTTTATTTCATGCAATGTTTTATTTCTGTGCCGTCTTCAAGTATGCCCCAGTACTTACGCTTGGAGAGGACATGAACTTCGGTGAAAATTTTGTCCAATTTGAATATGACCCATCTTTTCACCGACCATGCCCATTTCAATGAGTTTGTTGTACCCTTCTTCGTTCGTCATGAGTGCGTCAATGTTCTCATAGTAAACCTTCACTTTGGATTTGACTTCGGAGAAGAATTTGTTGTAGTTGTCAAGGACTGCCTTTGCGAACTGAGGGTAAGACCAATGTTCGACAATAGGTTTTAATGTGGTTACTAAGCCACTTTGACCTTGAGTGAATTCGTACTTCAAAACAAAGGAGAAAAACCTTTCAACAAAGTTGTCGACCTTCTCATAATGTTTACTCTTCATCTCTTGAGGTTTCTTAATGGAATATCCCCATGTCGAATTCATAAGCAATTTGAGTGTCATTGCAAGTTTGGGGTTTGAAGCTTTCCTAATATCATACAGTTGTTGTATGACTTTTCCAACTGTATAGTTCCTTCCCGGGAACTCACCATCTTCGTTTGGAATTCCAGTCGGAATATATTGGACAAACCTCATGTATGCAGCGTTAAGGTCGACATAGTATATCTTTTCATCTGAGTCGAACTTGTCGCAACCAATTGGTCCAGTTTGTGGAAATTCAAGTGAGTCTCTTATCTTCTGAGAAACTTCTCCTGTTATCTCATAAACATCGTCGAAGCAACCTGTTTCATATAAAACCTTCTGACCTAACTCAGATGCTCTCCAAACAATTTGACGTCAATTGGATGTCTCAATGGAAGTTTGTTTATAGCATCTTGAAGTTCTTGCAACCTCATTGGAAGTTCTTCTGGTTCAGGTTGGTATCCGAACAATCCAACTCCTTGTGGAATTGTATTGTTTGTACTCTTTTGTACTAGAACTTTGTCTGGAACAACTTTTGGTCTTGCTAACAGTGAAAAGTTTGTTTCGTCTTTTGGTACAAAAGTTTCTGTCAGCTTGTCATCTGGAATTGGTTCCAACAAACCTTTCTCGAAAAGAATGTTTACAGCTCTGACAATGTTGCACTTGCCTTTTCCGAACAATGGGTTTGTAAGACTTTCGTTCAACATGAAGTGGTTGTGGACAATTGCAATCTTCAACCATGGTAAATTGAACTCAACAACATAGTCGTCATGTGAAGAACCTTTAGCTGTAGGTATGTTGACTCGGATATTGACATTTGCCAACGGTGCAATTTTTGCCAATTGACCTCTGAGAATGTACCTGTCTTCACACATGACTCAAGATACTTCATCTTCTCTTCTGAAACAAGACCAGAGTTCCTGAGACATGTAAGAATGCAAGGTTCGTTGACAATTGTTTCAATTGAATTGTAAATTCCATACCTTGTCAAGTCAATGTCAGACTTATTTATGAACGGGAAGTATCCAGCATGTTGTCTGACTGCTTGAGGGTTAGGTTGGTACCATTCGAACTTGACACTTGCAATTCCTTCAATTGCATTCAAAATGTCTGAGTCGGAGTCAACCATTTGTTCTCTCTTTGTAGTCTTGAAAGCGTCAAGAAGCATTGCAGCTGTTGTGACATTGCCATGTGCATAGTAAATGTGACCATCCAAATCTGTTATGGTCAATCTGAGATTGTTATCCTTTCTTATTTCCATCTTGAATTGCAGCAAGTACTCCCATGAAGCCTTCTTTGTTCTTTCCTTCGTCAAAGTTTACTGTAAAGGTTCGACCAGATGTAATTTGACTTCTAACTTCACGGTACTTCTCATATGCATATCTTGTTCTTTCCATGGGAGGCATACTTCCTCTGCACTACCTTTTTTCCTTCTCAAAGGATGCAATTGTTCGTCATGTTTCCAGTAGAATCTGGCAAAGCCGTCGTGTCCTTCAACTTGAGGTTCACTAACATCGAAAGGCATGTCCATAAGACGTTCTTCTTCTAACCTCTAGTCTGTTTGGATAATTTGCACGTGCTGTTTCCAAATCCATTTCGTAGCGAAGACCAGCCAGTTTGTCATAGACTTTTATGGGTCTTCCCTTCCCTATATTTAAACTCTTCGAAACTCTCCAACCATATCTTTGCAACTCTGCTTTTATCTAGCAGATTTTCTATCCATTCTATATGGGGGCATTTTTATAAAAATAAATATTTTTTTCTTTACTTAACATAACCGCCTGCTGCTAAGTCTTTGACGCCAACCCATACCAGCTAAATGAAGGTTGACTTGGTTTAGTTTGGAAACTAAACTTTGGTTTTGGTTTATCTTCAGTTTTTGGTTTTTCTTCTTCTATCGGTTTTTTCGTCACTTTTCGGTTTCTCTGACTTTACTTCACCTGCAGGAACAGTTGTGTCGTCAACATCTTCATAAATATCATATGCCATTTGTTTTTGTTTTCCTTTCAACTTTTGTGTTTGTTGTAAAGTTTAGAATATTTCGACTCTAAGTCAATGAGATGTCTATAATGAACTGTTGGTCAGTGAAGTAAAAAACGGTTTTCGACAGATGTTTATATGACACTTTTTGTTCAGCACAAAAAACTACTCGGTCAAAGTGTTGTCAGTTTTGTAAAATAACCGTCCTATCTCATTCTATAAGGGGGAAAGGCTTCTCAAGTGTATATTCCTTAGAACGCCGTAACTTTTCCTGTAGCGACGATAGACCCTTACTTGTCCGGACAAAGTTATACTATTTTGAGTGCTCTACAAAAAGTCAACAGCGACGACTCTCAAAAACCGTTGTCTAAAAAGTTTTACCGTTGGACAAAAAAGTATATATAGAAAACAAAAAACGTTTATAGTTCATTCAATATTTGAGATGGAACGGTCCAACGGTAACTATTAAATAAAATAAAAAAATAGAGGGGTCTCCGTTGGTAAAAACCGTTTATTTTAAACTTTTCTATGAGTAGTCCGAAAAAAACAGTTTATTTTTCATAATGGAAGGAAGAAAAAGTGTCGCAAACAATTCGTCGACTACCTCTGCAGTTAAAGTTCCTACAACTTATGTCTCACCATTCTTAAAACCCTTACAACCTCCTATAATACCAAAGCAACTTCCTCATACAATTCAAGACATTTGTCCAACAATTTGAGTTCTTCTTCTCAAAACACAACAGATACAGTTGTCCAAACAGCACCAGAACAAGTTTCACATAGTTCTACAATTCAGGGTCAATCAGACTCAAATTCGAATTCAAACCAACCTTCAAACGCACCAGAACAAGTTTCACATGTCTCAACCTCTCAAACTACACAGCAAACACAAAGACAAACTTCCAATTCTGGTACAATTCCAATTGTACTTACTCATGAAGAAGAAGAAGAATATTTGGTAGAACCAGAAATAAAAGAAAGCGATATTCGTAAGGACGCAGTCAAGAGACTCGAACAATTCATGAAGAACTACCCGCAAAACTTAAGCATTCAAGACACAAATAACTATTCAGATTTCTACAATGATATTATTGAAGCCGTCAAAAAATTTGAAGATAATGTTCAAAATCCAACAAACCTTTCAGAATTCTTCTTCAAATTGCTTCCTTATACAGCAAATATCATTGGTTTACAGTTCTGTGACGAGTTTATTCAAACATTCGGTCCCAGACAGCAAAGAAGTCTATACGCACGTCTGAAACTGTTTCATCCTTATCCGCTTACATATAATTGGATTGAAGAACTTCAAGAACACGGAAAGGAACAACATTTCAAGTTCTATGTAGATGTTCCTCAAGGAAAGCTTGCTAAGACATTCACAATACAACAACCACATTCTGAAGACTTTCTTCAGTAATTCTTTCAGCGTTAGAAATGTTTCGTGCGACATAGTGTGTCCTTATATATGTCGACTCAAGGATATCTAGAAATATCCGAGTTTACATCTCTGCCAATCACTAGTCAACATCGTCATTGACATTACCACTTGAATGAATCCAAGTATAGCTCATCGATGTCAAACAAGTTCGAACCGACTCATCCAGAGTCAGTGATATACTCATATCAGCGACATGCTGGATTGAGAAAATACGTATAATTACTATCGCATGATGATGAGACCTTTCAATGTGATGAGAAGAAATTTAGAAAAGCAATGGAGGAAGAAGAAGAAATTTCAGAAGAAGCAATGGAGGAAGAAGAAGAGTCCTCCGAATTCACACCAAAAGACTAACAATTTTCCGAATAAAAACTTCATTTATACTAAACATCTTCGGGCTAGAGGGCGCAACGCGCCTGGAACCCCATTACCTTTTTTTTTCCTTTCTTTACCCTGTCCTAATAAACGCATTTTGTAAAAAAATATAGTGCATCAGTTTCGAACTAGCGTCCCCGGTACCCAATAGTAAGGGTAATAACCATTCGACCATTTGCCACGTAAAGCATCGCCAGAATTTTTTGTATTTAATCACTCCCAAAACACTGTTTTGGCTTATTGGAAGCATATCAGACATAATCGCCATAATCAAAAAATCTATATACCCAATAAGTAATAAATTTGTCGATATAGATTTTCCATAAAATTAGTTTTTAGTCTGATCTTAAAATAAATTTAATTTTTTATAAAGAAAATCACATTTAAAAGTACCTTTTTAGTAGCTCGAAATCCTGTTGGTGGATTTCGGGCGTACTTCAAAATTAGCCTTTCTTCTACATATGCAAGCTATATTTTAAATATGGGGCAAATCGGATCGGCGAAAGGAGTTTAGTTACCTTTATAATAGATTTTGAAGTGTAAAACGCGAACCCGATTTTCAATTATTGAAAGGGATATAGTTTAAACTGACACGAATTTACAAATAAGAGGATCCTGATCAGTTATTCTATTTTTGTTGAATATTTTTTACAAAAGGTTAATTTGTATTCCATTAAACCCATAGCAAATTTCACTCTATAGATAAAAAAAAAAATAGTGGGCTTCCAGGCACTTCGTGCCCTCTAGCCCCGAAGATGTTTAGTATAAATGAAGTTTTTATTCGGAAAATTGTTAGTCTTCTGGTGTGAATTCGGAGGACTCTTCTTCTTCCTCCATTGCTTCTGGAAGAAGCCTTCTTCTGGGTCGAAAACATTATATAATGGTGTCGCTTTTCACAAATATATTATGTTTTCATTTTTTGTCACTTTTCTGTCACTTTTCAGGGAAAAACATTTTTATTATTATATATAAATGAATTTTACAAAACCACCGTTACCGTTCTTTGGAAATAAGAGTAGATGTAAAGATATTAATTTGAGAGAACTTAAGAAACTACCGAATGGTCTAACATTGTAGATTTGTTCGGTGGAAGTTCTATATATCCCATTGTTGCCATACAATATCCCAGACTCAAAGATTATATGCAATGACTTCGACAACTATATGGACCGTCTCAAACATATTCCAGACACAAACAATATATTGAAAGAGTTAAAAGAAAAGATACCTATAGGTAAGATGGAACGTATACCATTAGATAAGAAAAATATTGTGGAGAGAGGTTTTGAAAAAAGCAGAATATATAGCTGGGATAGTATATCTGCTAGACTATTATATAGTGGTGCTATAAGAGTTCATGACATTGAAACACTTATGTCAAAAGTTTTATATCTTAACTATACAAATGTTTTCAAAGAGGACATAGAAAAAATATATGAGGGTAATGAGTTTGTGAGATGTCATTGGACAGATTTGTATGAAAAATATAAAGACAAGGAAAATGTTTTCTTTATAGTGGACCCGCCGTTCTATAACACATGGGATTTTCAATACCAAGTAGACTGGACTTTGAGAGACTCTTTAGAAACTAGACGTTTTACATAACCATCCATGCTTTTACTTTACATCCGATAAAAGTGGTTTGGAAACCGTTATGAGATGGTTAGAGGACATACATGACTATGAGTTTAGATATGACATGATAGAATATGAGAGAGGTCCTATAAACCGGAGAAAGTGTCATAACAAAGAAATTTTATTAGTAAGTAAATGTGGTTTGAAATAGGACTACTTGTTTTAGGTTTTTTCCATTGTGTCATTTATTTATTTGACGTGGCAGAAAAGTACAGAGAATATGAAGATGAACCAATGCCTGCAAATGTTCAGTATATGTACTCGTAAGAGATATTTTTATCTAATATTAAATGGACGCACAGAACTTAGCGAATGCGCAGCAACCTGGACAACCAAACCCAGAGAATATTCCAAATGAAGTTAGAATACAAACTGCAATGGCAAACTATGGTCAAGTGCCAACAGATGTACAAATGCAAACTGCCATGTCAAATGACGCTGCGTTAGGTTTGCCACCATGGTATGCAAATATGAGATGGAAAGAGTTTTATACAAACCCTGAAGTGGGATATAAACAACTTTATGCAGATGACGCGAACACAGGAGTTGACCCAGAATATGTTTTCTACCAGAGGAGAAACAGAATGTATGAGCTCCAGTTAAAGAATGCTATGAACTCAACAGGAAACGTAAGAGACTAGGCGGACATTAGATTTTTACATATAGTAAAATGGGTTTCTTCAGTAGTATTGGAAACTTCTTCAGAAGAGTTGGAAGAGGTATATGGAATGGAATAAAATCTGTCGGAAAAGAATTTGAACGGTGTCAAAAATATTGTAAAAGAGTAGGTCAGTTCGTTGGTATTAACCTTAAGACCCTGAACCAGAAGAACAAGCTCCTGTTATACAACAACCTGAACCTGCACCACAGTCTAGTTGGCAACCAAATCCAACACCTCAACCGTATTAAAAAAATTATAT